ACATACATACCAGGGGTGGGTTGCTAATCCTGTTCCAATCGGTTCTGTTGGAACGGGGCCGGCGGCGTCCTCATACACGTGCGCAGTTCATGCATGCATCTTAGCGCCTGCGTGATGCTCCAGCTGCTCGCGGAGGCTCGCACAGGCGCTGTATGTGCCATCCAGCTGCTCGCGGAGAATCGCACAGGCGCTGTATGTGCCATGCACCTGCGTGGAAGCGCAGAAGCCTTCAAAGACCGGTAAGGAGGGCGGGCGGGTGGGCCCTTCGCCATTCCCGGAAGTTACTTACTTCCGGGTTCACCGACCAACCGGTTTGTGGGGACCACCGCGAACCGGTTGAAACCCACCCCTGCTTCAGATGCAATGATAGTAAGAAAGATACTTGACTGTGCAGAGATGGATAGGTTGACCATGGAACTGAAAGGCGAAAAGAATCAGAGTAGATGGAGTAGATGGTATAAATGGTTGGGTGATAGATCTAAAACTATTGTATAAGAAATAGATATTATCTACAATAATATGACAATACTGTATATATTTGTAAATATTATTATAATCTAAATGACTATATAATATAGATTAGTAAACTATAGACATAGAGCTTATGTAAATATGACTGATATTAATGATACCGATACGGAAATGCTGTAATGAGTGGAAATTTGTGTTTTGTTTTTTAATGTTTAAATATGGTTAATAAAAATTATTTTGGAAAAAAGAAAAGAAATCTGGATTCTAAGTTGTTTTATAAAATATTAACTCCTATTCTTTGCTTTTTAATGTCACCTGCAATCTTGATTTTCAAGACAAATACTTGTAAGATCCTTTGTCCAGTCATCAGATTATTTATAAGTTGATTTGCCTGTCTCTTTGCAAAAAGTACAATGGTCAAATAATCTCTACTTCCATTTCTATGTAAAGGCTCTGAAACCTGAAGATAATCTTTGAATTTTTTCAAGATATAACAATATACTCCCTCTTCTTTGCCTTTGGTGGGCAAAAATATTTCTTCACGGTTTCCCAAAAACCATTTCGGTCAGAAAGTCCACATGGTCTTATTTAGGTACAAGATGATCTTCCAGATTTGCAAACCTAATGAAAAGAGGCTCATTTGGAAACTTCGGCGTCATAACCAATGACGTTTCTAGTTACTTTTATACAATAAAGCCACACATTGGAAGGTTTATCATTATAAATAACATAGGTGTGGATTGCTCATTATCTAGTCATGATGGCCATAACAGATGTGTTTGCTTAAGGGGAGCCTTCAAAACAAGACTTGACTATTTGTTATATCAGAGGGAAGCTGCACTCACACAATCCACTAAAGCCAAAACATGGCTTGTTCCTTTCTTTTAGTTACATGAACCAATATGGTCTTATTTTTAGATGTGAATCAGGGTTCACCGACAAAACCGCGCTCGACTAAACCGCGCCCGACTAAACCGCGTCGCTGACGTCATCAACAGGGCGACAACAGCGCGGAGACAGAAGCACGCTGTAAACCCTAAACTTAACCCCTAAACCTAAACCTAAACCTAAACCCCCTAAACCTAATCCTAAACCTAACCCTTAACCTAACCCTTAACCTAACCCTT